GGGGGGAAGATGTAGGTTGGGCGAAACCCCCCCCCCTCTCTCTTTTTTTTTTTTTTTTTTTTGGAAAAGGCAGAGTCCAAATCACCCCAGTGCTGATAGACCTCCAGCACCCTTCCCACAGATCTCTCCTGTTGCTAGCTGATGGGGAATTCTAGAGACCCTGAGGACAAAGGCCTTTGGACAGGCATGGGGAATATGGCATGGTTTGAACTCACTGGCGCCTGGCTGAAGTCACCAGGGATGCCCGTTGCCCAGATTTCCCTGGCAGCACAGGCACAGCTTCGACACAGCAAGCAGTTGGCCCGGTGCGTTGGGAGAAGCTGGGGACTTCAGGACGGTGGCTTAGTCCTGCTTGGCGTGCAGCTCCTGGGCCTTCTGCTCTCCTTGGAGCTCCCTCCAAGATGACAGTGCATTTCGTCCACTCTGGGGTGCGTCCTCAAGCCCAGCCAGCTGCGGGTGCAGCAGTGCTGGCTTTTGACTCTGTGCTGCCTTGCAGCTGCTTAGGTTTAGTGTCTCCTGGTCTGCTGTTGCTGCTTCAGAGAGGCAGGGAAGTGATAAATAGGATGACGGAGACCCCTTTCATTAGGGACCCAAGGCAGGGACCTGTGTAGAAAGGAGATGGGCTGGTACTGAGCAGGACCCACTGCAGTCAGGCTACCCCTGCAGCACCCTGGTGACTCTCATCCAGCTCAGGAACTGGCATTTCCATGGCGTTTTGGATGCAACAATGGCCAAGGCTTTCAGGAACTGTGAGGAAATGGCTGCAGCCCTCTGAGCCATCCCCAGCAGCTAAGTGAGGAAATTCTTCCTCTTGTATGGCAGGCTGACAGCAGCAGTGACTGGCCTGAATTGCCTTTGGAGAAGCACAGGAGACACTGTTGGCTTGCTGCTCTGTTTGTATATTATTTAAGGGGTAGGCTGGGGTTATTTAGTGTCCCTCCAATACATTTCTTTCCAAATAGCTCCTGCCAATACCTCTCCCTGCTGCCAGACAGGTATGCCCTGCTTTCACGTGTGTGTGGGAACACACGGGTGCAAAGAGGCTATGCTTTTCACACAGTAGCCCCTGGCATAGCTGACAATTGGACCCAGGATTCCTGAATCCCAGCTCTTTTATTCAGGCTCTTCAAATCACTGCCTCTTCTGTACTTCTCTCACCCTTCAGAATCCTGCCGGCTGTGTCAGGGATGACCTGGCTGGTGTACTTCTGCTGTTCGTTGCCCTTGGCCCAA